CGGCCATTAGCCTGTAAAATGAAAATTTTTACAAATTTCATCATTCTCTCTTTATATCTGTTATTGATATTACAAAACGTGGTTATATTCATGATTGACGTGGTTACGTGATTTATTTATACTCTTTTAATACACCGTGACTTTCTGGCTTGCGTGGTTATTAACATCTCCCATAAGTCAACTTGGCTCTGACAAACTGAAAGCACACACCCTTGTCATTACAAAGTTAGCACCTGTGTAGGCTACTGTGTTGCTTGTTATTATCAAGAGTTGCGTGGTCTCAATAACCAGCTGCTGTTCGAAAAATGAGCCCCTCTTCTCGTGAAGGGCAAATACCGGACTCGAAGGAGCAATGGAATTCTAGCCTTGAGTTACTGCGCTTGACAACACAGCATTTTCGTAGAATATTGTTGTGAATCAATGTCTTAAAACGTCACGATGTTTTATAAGTCGCAATCACTCCTTTTACGAACTATCCTGAAATAATTGCTCTCAGCAGTCAAGTACTTTGAAGAGGCGTCAGAGTAGTTTGAAATATCGGATCATCAACTTACTCCAAGCCAAGCACGTAATCGTGTTTAAATCACTGCTACTTCCTTTCAACTATCTTCAAAGTTCCTGTTGTTTTTTTCCCTTTTTAGGTACTGACATTAGTTTTAACATTTATTCTGATCAGGTTTTCCAAGTTGGAGAGATCATGGCCTTATTTTTTCATCAGTTAATGCTCCTGGTGTTCTTAGTGAGTATTCCTATTAATTCTACCTATATTACAATAAATAATTCAAAATACGGAATATAATGTGTAAGTGCAGGCAATCAGGTTTAAAAAAGTCCTCATTAAGAAGCCAGTTCTGTTTCTTGAGAAAAACTTTTGATTTCTCTAGCATAACTTCTGGCTGGAGGGTCTTCGCATTTTGATGTTGTCAGTTCACATCTGCTAATGTTTGATTTCTATTATTTTTCTCACAGAGTACTAAATATCCTCACGTTTCAGGCGCGTCGCTAGGTATGTAAAAACATGTGGTTCTGTACTTTAAACAAAAGTAAAGCAAAGACAAGCGCTGTTCAACTGTTTAACCGAGAAAGTTGCTTTTTGCCATCAATTTTCACAAAATATTTCTGTGTCTTTACGGGCAAAGACCAACGGTAAATGGAAAAATGACTTTCTACCGTAGTTAATTCTTTACGAACTGCTAAAACTCATTATTTTATACCTTACAATTCCTATTTAAAAATGAGAGCATTCAATATTCTCTTATTGTCTGGTTGAGCGTGAATTCAATCATCATGACAAGTCAATTTTTACAGATTGCTTTAAGAATCCTGTTGGTGTTGCTGATCCCAGAATAATCCCTGATAATCGGATGACATCATCTTCTAATCACGACGGTCGGTACCGGGCGCCGTATGGTCGACTCAACGGTTACAGAGGCGGTGGTTGGTGTTCGCATAAGACTGACAGTGACAGTGAATGGCTTCAAGTTGACATCGGAGAAATAATTCAAGCATGTGGGGTTGCTATCCAAGGAGAAAGAGGAATACGTCGCCAAAGGTTTAAAGCTTTCAAACTGTCCTATTCCTTAGATGAATTAAATTGGGAAACCTACCGGGATGAAAGTGGTGAAGAAATGGTAAAAATTTCATTGTAATCCATCAAAGAAAGTTTTTTATTTCAATTTGGTGGTGGGGAAAATTTTGAAAAAAAAAACTGTTCTTTTCACCTTGTTTATCTTGTTCTGTTTTTATTTTTTTATTGTTATTGTTTAAACATATCTGTCTTTGCTTTCCTCAAAGTCACTTAGGTTTATCAAGGGGGATTACAATAATACAAAATTTATTTCTTTTATACAGGCTCATACACAAACCCACACCCACGCAAAAACAACACACAAATTACAAAAACAACGAATTAAACTTACATAGCTTGGGGGATATTATTTAAACAATCAGGTAATGGTCACAGGAAAGCGATTTGTATTAATTATGATACTTTATACCTCGCAAAAAAGCACTATTGACATTGTATTTTTTCCGTTCTTTCGCGTTTGGAAACAAGTATTTTTGGAACTATTTTTTCCTTTCAAAAAAACTTATGTTCCATTTATTACATTATTGTTTCAAAGGAATTTCAGAGTATAGGTTACGGTCCTTCAATCGCTCAGCACAAGTTACCACCGCCAGTGTATGCAAGATACTTTCGATTTTATCCAATCCAGAGTCATAGAAGGACCTGCCTTAGGGTTGAGATTTTCAAACAAAAATGTGAGTTCATAATGCAATAGTAACTAAAATATGATTGTTTTTCTGGTATCAGGAAACAGGTTACTGGATGTGGCCGAGATAATCATTAAACACAGTGTAGTACATTCTAAAATTAACAACAAGTTCATGCGTCAGCGTGCGTTCATCGATGTAAAAAGCACGCGGGACGTCGGGATATGAAGCCCGCACGAGTTTTAAGAAGCTACAGTTGCACTCGGCTGGGCCTCCAGAAACTCTTACGCATCTAGCGTGCTCCAAATCGACTTTCCTTTAGCATATTTACATGAACTTCTCATTTTAAGCTCCTAAAGGTTTATATCAATCGTGCTTCAACGGAAAAGCTGATTAAAGGCGACTGGCCCACTGCAAAAGGCTCTCTAGAAATTTTCAAAATGTTAGTCTTGCAACTGATCAATACGACATTGACAGAATAGATAAGTTTTGAACCAAGTTATCCTTGTATCCGTATTACTCTTGACAAAAGAAGATGCCTCATCCTCTTCTGTTATCGATGAATTCATCTGATAAGTAACTTTCAACATTCAGCTTAATAGGCAAAGGGGTTTAACTGTATCAGGATTTGGATAAAGGTTGAATAATGCTTCTTTATTTGCAGTTCTAGGATGTCAGTACATCGACGTAGGACTAGGCAATGGATACACCCTGGATAGAGATTTCAGTTCGTCCTCTGTACTAAATGCAAACACACCTGCTAAGAATGGTCGATTGAACTACAATGGAGGATCATCATGGTGTGCTGCAACAAATGATAGGCAGCCATACCTACAGGTCGACTTTGAAAAGCTTTATATCATCTGTGCTGTTTCAACTCAGGGGAACTCCCAAGGGGATGAGTGGGTAAGGAAGTACACACTGCTGTCATCTAGGGATGGAAAAAATTGGACAGGCTATCAAGAGGCGGGAATATTGAAGGTTTGTCACCTTCAGAAACCTAATAGATAATAAAAGAGTATAATTCCTGGTTAAAAAATTTACTGTCATCATTACTATAGAGAGGTTGTTCAAGTTGTCCAAGCGCACGATATAAGTGCTTGAATAACATGGTTAAACATAATGAGAGTCAAAGGAAAAAACACTAACAAGGTAAACCAAGCTATTCTATATAGACTTGAGCAAAAGTAACGGCGAGAAACTTTAGAACGTATTTAGAGTAGTATTTGTGATGAGAGGTCTGCATCT